CGGGGCAGCAACAGGGTTCCATCCCCTTGGCTGCTCCCGGTGCGGGTCAGGCAGTGGCGGCCCCGGAGCCTTTCGAGGGCAGAACGGGTGCCGGTGCCCGGGCGGGGAAAGGTGGCTGCTGTACTCCACGGTGAGGTTTGGGGTGCGTGGGAGGTAGTAGTGTTGGTGGTGATGGGGAAATAAGTCCCAAATAAAGTGACCCTGTGCTGATGTTAGCCCACAGAGACACGGGGCCGGGCCCTCCTTGCAAGGAGGGTGCCTGCCCACCCGCCCCAGTTCCCAAGGACTCCTTGAAACTGTGTGTGGGGCCCCAGGGCTGTGGGTGGACTACAGTCCTCCCACCCACTGACAACACCTCGCACAAGCAGGTGGAAAACAGTTAAGTTCAGTGCAGGGCTTTCAGCACCCGTAACAGAGATTCAAGTGTTGCATTTTTGGGACTCAAAACCAGAGCAGGAGTCCTACATTTCTGAAGCTCAAAAAAAAAAAAAAAAACGATTACGTCCTGTGTTTTCAGAGCATGAAAACAGAGTTTTAGTCCTGTGGTTTTAGGGTTCAGAAAAAAAAAAAAAAAACAACCAAACCACTTTGTGCTGTGTTTTAGAGATTGAAAATGCAGACTGAGATCTATGTTTTCATTGCTTGAAAACAGAGATGATGTTGGTTTTGGGCCTTAAAAACAGTATCTGGGGGCTGGTTTTGGGTCTCAAAAGCAGAGATGAAGCCCTGTGTTTCTGAAGCTCAGAAAAAGCGGAACTCCTGTGGTTTTGGAGATTGTTCTTTGTTTTTCAGGCTGGAAAAGTGAGACTTAATTAACTTGTGTGTTTGGGGGACTTGGAAAAGAAGGCTCAGTCAGCAGTTTTCAGCCCCAAAAGAGTAGGCTCAGGGGTAACTTTGTGCAGGGGTGTGTGTGTGGAATGAGAGGGTGTTGGGGGCAGTGTGCGTGGCCCCCCACCAGAGGTGGGGGTCTGGTCATGTTGGTCCCTAACCTGGAACTGAACTCGGTGTCTGGGATGGGCAAAAGGTGCTTTTCTCCAACTCTTCAGTCAAGGTTTGTACAACCACTGGAATAGTTATAAATAAACAATATTTAGACATTGTATGTTATAACAGTTAATATTCAAATTACGTTAATGATTGATTTCCAACCTTGCTGAAAGCCCAGGCTGCTTTAATTGACTTTAACAAGAAGGAGCAGTTATTAAGTGAGAGCTGTATTAGGTGGACCTTGTCAGATGAAGGGGCGGAGCTTTAATTAGCTTGTAACAAGAGGGAGCTTCTGCAATCCAGAGCTGGAAGCAGCAGGAACATCTCCAGCATGTGCTGGAGCAAAAATAACTCAGTGCTTCAAATAACCTGAGCTGGAACATCCACTGTTTGGAGCTGAAATTACTTAAAGCACAAGTGTCCATCAGCCAGAGCTGTAACAAGCAGGAGCACCTTGTTTCTTGAGTACCCAGGAGCAGAAGCTGGGCTGCTCTGAGTTTCAAGTAATTCCATTTGTCCACCTGTTGGAGCTGCAGTGTAGCTGGAGTGTCTGTTAGCCAGAGGCAGAGCATCTCATATCTCAACTGTGCAGTAGCCAGAGCTGTGATTTGGAGCAGGAGCTAAAATAACTTGGAGCTTCATATGCCTGGAGCTGTGAGAACCAGGAGCATTGCTGATCCGGAGTGTCAGGTAGCTGGCTGTTATGAGCCAGGCAGGCACTGGCAGGGCTGTCCCCAAGAAGGAGCTCTTCCCATCATGGAGGAGATTTGTCCTGTGAGTGGGATGCCCAGCCTCTTCCTGCAGGGTTTAAATCCATGTTATGTGCCCCTCTCTGGGGAGGAAAAACAGAGCTCTGTCTGTCCCCTCCTCAGCCGGAAGCGTCACATTTCTCCCCAGAAGGGCAGGTGACAAAAGAGCATCTTGCTCAAATCCCTCCACTAGGCGGGGTGCGTTTTGGCACAGCACAAAACAGCGGGGAGCACCACTGGGGCTACCACTGGGGTGCAGCTGGGTGTAACCCCCACAGCTCTTGCTCCACCTTCCCTGAACTCCCTTTGCAGCTCCCAGCCCTCCAAACACAAGGCAAAAAATTACCGGGGATGGACTTTGGTTGTGGGAGCTCCCTACACAGTGCTGACCACCTTTAGGCATTGTGTGCTCCACACCTGTGTTTGTACCATGTGGCAAGAGGTGATGGGGGCAGCCCCATTAACGGCCAAGAGGGACAGGTGCTGAGCTGGGTGCCCCAGGCATCCCTGATGAGCTCAGCAGGGAGCAAAGACCTCCTTGTGAGCCAGGACACACAAATTGCAATAACAACAAGCACAGAAACCATGACAACAGTGAGGTGACCATCAAGTGGTGTTCTACACCCACTTAACGTGTCTAGACCAAAATGGTGTAAAAGTAATACAGTACCCACCCAAGACAAGCTTCTCTGCTAGAGCTGCTCTGCAGACATCTCCCAAAAAGAGGGACCCTTGCCAGGGATGCCTGGCTGACTCTGTGACACAGATTGTCTATGACAAGGCTTCTCTGTCATCCCCACTCCTGGCAGCAGTTTGGCGAGTGTCATGCTGGTAACACCTCAAATAATCCCTATAGGTGTGCCTATAGGTAAGTGATCGTAAGTACATAGTTGGTTTACTAGTTGTGATTTGTAGTAGCTTGTACTTCACAGGAACAAAGCCTCCATGACGTGTGCTACAGCATCCTACAAACCTGCTGTTGTAAGCTTCACACACCTGAGGGTCACGTCACCCCACAGGTTGTGCCCTATCAGCCTGGCCTGGGGCTCCTGCAGGGACACAGCCCTCGAGCTGGTGTCACCCAGCTCAGTCTGGTGCAGCCGTGCCCACCCCGCAGCCCCTGCTCAAAGGATGGGGTCCCCAGCAGGGCCAGCCCTGCGTCCAGAAACCAACAGCCACAACTGCCTTCTCCTGCTTCTCTGTGAACATGTGTTTTGAGTGTGCAAACGCGTGCATCTGTGCTGTCAGCAGGGGCACAGCCTGCTGTGCCAGTAGTGTGATGGTGGTGCGGCCATCATGGAAAATGCCACGGGAGTTGCAGTGGGGAAAGTGGCATGGTGAATAAAACCTACTCCTGAAGGTGCCAAGACAGAAGCACAGACATGCCAGAGCCTAAGGACCCCACGCAGCACCAGCCCACTGCCCACTCTGGACAAAAAGCACCTTTTACTGTTAAAAGTAACAAAGCTTAAAGCAATCTGAGCCAGTGCTTGGTGGTTGCAAAGCAACCCCAGACCCAGTTACCTGTTCTTTGCCCTGGATAAACCCCTGCACCCCCAAGCCCCAGCGAGGTGCAGATTAACCCAGCTCTTCCACCACACCGTATTACACCCAACACCACACAGAGAAGCAGCTTCCATGCAACAGGCTCCTAATGAGGTTTGTGTGGAGGAAGCAAAGTGGGACTGCGATCCCCACACTGTCACCATCACTCCCCTGCTGCCTTCGGTGTCTTGGTGCTGGGGATGGTCCAGGTAAAAAACGGGGATGGATTCCTTGCTCCTGGGCCTTTCTGGGCACAGGGTGATGCTGTCACCATCTCTGCATGCTGCCGGTGTCCATGGAGAAGCTGAGCTGTCCGCAGCAGGCTTGGCTTTTGTTCTATTTTATCTTCCCACTGAACTTTGTGGTCTGGTCTCATCCCAGTGTGGGTCTGCAACAGAAAGTCTCCTTTATCTGACCACCTCAGCATTGCTCTGACCAAACAGCATACAAAAGTACAATCCTGTCCTCTGGTGCTGCAAGAGGACATGGAGAAATAAATAACAACACACAGGCACAAAGACAAACTCTGCTGTTTATTGCTGGTGTTACCCAGGGAAGGGGGAAATCACCCACAATCAAGGCAAACCCCCATGGTGTGTTTCCCAGCAGCCAGGGCAGCAGCAACTCCTGCAGGGCGCAGCGAGGATAGCGGCATCTGCAAAGGGATGGTAGAGGAGGGTCAGGTACCAGGGATGTACCTCACACAGTGAGAGAGAGAGAGTCCATCTGTCTGTCTGTGTTCCCCACCACCCTCCTGCCTTGCTGGCTGGACCCAGGTGATGGGCCCTGAGCAGATCCTCCATCCTGCAAGAGGTTCTCAGCAACATTCTGCTGCAGGACAGGTCACCCTTTCACCTGGCCATTGCTGTTTTGGCACCGTAGCAACCCTGCGTCTTAAGTGAGGTGTCGGTGAAAAGGGAGACTCTGGGAACCCGCTTGGCTCTGTGCAGCAGTGACTTTATAAACCAGCGGCAGCACGCCCAGCTTACCAGAATACACCCATCTCCTTCCTCCGGTTGATGTCTCTCTTCAGCTGGCAGAGCGCGCACATGGGGCAGCACATGGTGGAGACCCAGTCATTCAGAATAGAGCCCTGTGGAGCAAGGGACATTGTATGAATAACCCCTTCCCGCATCAGCTTTTAAGTTTTCCTATTTTTCATCAACACCTCACGGCAGCTCCCCCCTGCCCCCGCAGCAAACTGCCCGTTATGCCCAGCGAGGACTGGGATGAGGCGGTGTGTGATGGGATGACCTCCGGCTCGCAGCAGGGATGCAGAGGTGTCCCTGGCTCCCTGCCTGCGGGGCTGCCCACGCAACTCCCCACCGCTGCTCTTCCCCTCAGGCACCCCTTTCTCCTCCCCTGAGCCCCCACCCCCAGCACCCAGCTCACGGCCATTGCTGCCAGTGGGGCAGGCCCTGCAGTTGGTCACTGACCGGGATGTTGTATCTGGTGCGGTAGAGCGTCCTCATGGCCACGCTGGGGCCACACAGGCAGCACTCGTTCATGTCCCCAGCCACTTGGCACCCCAGGCAGGTGAAGCAGAAGGCTCCGCAAATACCTGCAGGACAGGGAGACATGGGCTTGGCTGAGAGTTGCAAAGAAAGAGGAAAGGGGGGAGAGAGGGACGGGGATGCGGCCATGGGAGCTGTGGTTCTTCACCTCAGATGAGAGCTGCTCCGCCGCTGGTACCCACAAAAGTGGGGTTTGCAGCAGGGGCAATGCCACAGAAGGCATGGAGTAAACACCAGAAACACATAATGAGCCAACACCAGGAACGAGGGGTACGTATCTACTCACACACGCCGCAGTCAGAGCAGCAGTCCAGCAGCCCAGTCTGCCACTCGCCTGCCCGTGGGGCAGCCGAAAACTGGGGCTGGTACGTGATCACATGATGAGAGGCCATTGCCAGCACAGGGTCGGGTCCCCTCCACGCAGTTTGTGGTCTGGAAGGAAAAGCCATCAAAGAAAGATGCTGCAAGTGTTTCTGAAGTGGGTGTCTTGCTCAGGCTGCTGCATTTGAAGACGGATAGGGCAGCACAGGTCCCCGAGGGGATCCCACTGCCAAGGCACTGCCACCCCCACTGCAAAGTGGGGGGCACAGCTCTGCCAGGAGCTGCCACTGTCCTTTGCAGCAAAGCCCTCCCTGAAACCAGCCCCCCACCAAAGGCAGCAGCACCTCGTCCCTCTTCCTATGCAAGTAAAATGCCTCTGTAAAAACAGAGGTCTTTCTGCTTCAGAGCCTCAGTGCTTCAACACTTCAATCCTGTCTTCTCATTCCCAGTTCATCTTTCATCATTATCTGCTTAAAATGGTAATTTTTTTTAATGTTCACAGTGTTCCGAAGCTACTAAGGCTCAGTCCTAGCTTTCCCAAGCTCTCAGTAGTCACCTTAATCTTTGCTTTATTCCCTGAGCATCTCAGCCTGCTTGCCTCCCCCTCTCCCTTCCTTCTTCACCTGCTTTCTTAGCAGGCTTCATAGAATCATGTAATCATATAATTGTCTAAGTGGAAAGGGACCTATAAGATCATCAAGTCCAACCATCAACCTAACACTGCCAAACCACCACTAAACCATGTCCCTAAACACCACGTCTACTCGTCTTTTAAGTACCTCTGGGGATGGTGATTCAACCGCTTCCCTGGGCAGCCTGTTCCAATGCGTGACAACCTTTCAGTGAAGAAATTTTTCTTAATATCCAGTGTAAACCTCCCCTGGTATAACTTGAGGCCATTTCCTCTTGTCCTATCGCTTGTTACTTGGGAGAAGAGACTGACCCCCACCTCTCTACAACCTCCTTTCAGGTAGCTGTAGAGAGTGATAAGGTCTCCCCTCAGCCTCCTCTTCTCCAGACTAAACACTTCAAGGCAGTGGGTTTTCTTTATCCCTTTCCATCACCCTAAGCTCAGCCACCAGTTCCCATCCCTCCTCCACTTGCATGTCTGTGCCAGTGCCTCATCCTCATACTCCTCTTCCTCAGTTCCCTGGGGCCACCGTGGCCCCTGGAGCCCTGCTCCTTCCCATCCTTCCCCAGCAAGGAGCTGCAGCCTCTGAGAGCAGCAGAGCTCCTGCTCTGCAGCACCATCCCTAAACCCACATCACCCATGTAACAATTCCACCTGCACCTCCCTCTCCACCTCCCGGCGTGGCCCCTTCCCTCACCACTGCCCCCTACAAGGCACAGCACCACTTCTCACTTCAGCCTTGGAGCTTTAATTAAAAAAAAAAAAAAAGGAACTAGAGGATGCTCCCATGAAAAGTCCCATAGAGACACACTCCCTGCCCTGTGCGTAGTTTCGGCACCGCTCTGTTAAGCAGCCCAGGGATGAAATGCAAAGGCTCCTGTGTTCTTACAGCTACAAGGGCTCGCTGCCGCTCCCAGCCACACAGCCTCAGCAAAGAAATCATCAGCGGGAAAGCAGCCTGAGCTTTGAACCCCATAACCGCGGGGAAGGGTTCCAGGGCAGCTCCCTGGGGAGGTCCTCTTCAGCCGCCACATCCTTGCCCAGCCCACAGGCGTTTCCACAACGGGCATTACAGGTGTTCAACAGAGCACCTTTGGAAAGTTCGTGTCCTGCCTGTCCCTGCCCAGCTTTGACACGTCTGTCCTGCCTGCACAGGGGCGACAGCCAGCTCGGGGGTGCCCACTGAGCACCCCTCCCCTCCCTGCCCTAGGGCTCCCTGCCTTTGTGTGACAAGGGCAAGGCAGCGCCTGAGTTTCGGGACACGGGGAGGGGCAAAAAGAAAAACAGAAGGAGCATTTACATTTTGAAGAAAGGAATGATGGCATTAATCCCTGTAAATGCTGTGAAAACACTATAAATGGGATTATTTTCACAGTAGAATTACACATCTACATAGAATTTAAGTATTAAATGCAAGTCTCCAGGAATACAGTAGAATAAATATATTACTATGCCCAGCACTCAGATGATGCCATCGTGTGCATTACCAGCAGTGGACAACAGAGAGATGCAGTCTGCGGTGTTTTGTTTGTGTTGACTATTGTCAACAGGCAGCAAAGGGGTCAGTGGCTCTGCCGGCAACTCCTGTGGCTCCCCATCACTTACAGACTGGCCTGGACGCATCTCTGCCCTCAGACACAGCCTGTTGCCATATAGAATCATATAATCATAGAATGGTTTAGGTTGGAAGGTACCTTCAAGATCATCTAGTTCCAACCCCCCTGCCATGGGCAGGGACACCTCCCACCAGACCAGGTTGCTCAAAGCCCCATCCAACCTGGCCTTGAACACATCCAGGGATGGGGCATCCACAGCTTCCCTGGGCAACCTGTTCCAGTGCCTCACCGCCCTCAAAGTATGGCTGACCTTGGTCCCCTGGGAGTGCACAGAGAGGAAAAGGGGTGTTGAATTACTCTGTAAGAGGGAAGAAAGCTTGTAAAAAGTCTCCACATGATTTGCTCGTAACCTTTTGCCGATTTCTGCAAGCAGCAGAAGCGTGGCTGGGCTGAGACGCTAGTACCTGTTCCCAGGTAGGTGACAAGTGGCCATGAAGGGCAAACCACCGGCCTGAGGGATTGCCTCAGCCACTAGGTCCTGCCAGGGGTTAAAAGGCAAGGGTGTTTTCTTGCTGCTGCTGAACAGAGCTGTTGAGCTGTAAAAACACTGCTATGCCCTATCTGGTGCAAGTCACCCGGCTGTTGGCAGGGACCTCTGGAGTGAGCACAGGCAACCCCACCACCAGTAGGTGCAGCAGGCACCACATTGACCCTTGATGGACACCTCCCTCCTCTGCCTCGGCCTGCTGCCCCTCCTTGTTCATGCACAAGGCCACAGGTACTTCCCGCCACCTCTGCAACCGATGTAGCACCCCACAGCATGTCAAAATGGCAGCCCCTGTGGGGAGCCTTGGCTCCTTGGCAGGAGCCAGGAGGGACAGGGGAGGGGACAGACCACAGACAAGCTGTGTGGTGGGGATGCCAGGTAGGGACAGCACGGGGATTCCATGCAGGGACGGGGATGTCCAGCAGCAGGGAGGACAGCAGGGACCACAGGGAAAAGCGTGGGCAGGAGCAGCAGCAGGAGAAGGTTTAGGGGCAGAACCCCACCAGCCTCCCGTGCCAAAGGAGGTCCTCGCCCACCACCAGGTAATGAGATTAATAGCAGCGCACGGTGAAAACGCAGCTGAGCAGTGATCTCCGCCACACACCCCCTGTGCCCTTTGCAGGCACAACTGACCACAGACTTTCCCTTCCTCTCCCAAAGTACGAGCACACCACATCCCTGCGCAGATGGAGGCTGTGGTGTGGTGCAGAGCAGGCAGCAGATTGAAGAAGCCTCTGCCACACGCTCATCTCCTGAGAGGTGGCCCGGGCCCAGCATGCCCAGCACGCCCAGCACATCAACCCCGAGTGCCCCCAAATCTCCACAGCACCACCAGCAGTGTTGGAACAGCTGACAGGAACAAAAAGGACCCCGAGGTGCACGCAGCCACATTTCACCGATAACCAAGGTCATAAAACAGCATTTTGTTATGCATAGGCACACATATATGTGCAGAAATGAACAACAGAGTGCAAAAGCTGTTGTCTTTCATGTCTGCTGCCCGCTTCTGTTGAGATGCCTGTCAGCAGCACCCGGCACCCTCTGGTTTAGCTTTGAAGTGGTCCCTCTGGTTTACCTTTGAAGTGGTTTTCCAGGTAGAACACCTCACCTCTGTTTCCACCCCTTCCCCAGCAACACCGCTTAAGCCACAACCAACTTCCATATTTTTTTACCGCAGCTTTTGCTCAAGCCAAGCCAAGCCAAGCTATACGTACCCGCTGAGACGCCCTTCTCCTGGGAGACGTGTGTCCTTTTCCTGGTTCTCATCCTTTATATGCTCTGGGTGCTCCCTGGCAAACAAACTCTGCTCCGTCTGACTAACAGACCAGATGCCGGCTTAGGTGCTGCTTTGCGCAATTGCAGTTTCCCTGCTGAAGGCAGCCAGCTGCAAGCTTGCTGCCACTCCTGCTGGGATCCTGCTGCCCCCACTCACACACACTTTTCCCCACCCCAGCATCCTGCAAGCCCAGAGACCTGATGGGACACGCCGCTTTCAGCAGCAGTTTTCAGAGGACAGTTTGTTTTTGGGCTCCTGTACTGCCTTAAGACATACACCACTGGAGGTGCAGCGCCTTTCCTTCAGTAAGCCCAAGCATCAGCAAGAACTGGCCGTAACTCCACTGGGTGACACAGGCACTTCCTCGACGTGCAGCTACGAAATCATACCACATTGTGCTGGGATGAGATGGCAGCATAGTATTTCTTCTCCCCCCCTCTCCATGTCCCTGTCCTTTACCTCTCTTAGGCTAAAAATGCAGTTTTCTGTATTTCCAGGGATCATCCACAGGACCATCTGGGCCATCTGGAGTTGAGGCAGGTGGGAGTGCTGCAGCATGGACCCACCCTACAGCACTGACAGAGCCTCCACCTGCCCTCTACAAGGTTTGTGGGGAAGGTGAAGGCAGAGGGGGAAAAAATACCATATTTTCCTTTGAGAGTGAAGTTGGGGGAGATTTGCAGGGATCAAAATTCCTTTAGCATCTCTCTGAGAGTGATGGAGAGAGCGTGGATGTAACCTCTGTGGTTTTGGATAGACAACATACCGCCAACAGTCCAGTGCAGACAGGTGTGCTCTGCCCGGCCGTGGCCAGGAAGCAGCAGAGTTTGCCCATGGAGAGGACTTGGCCAGCCCATGATCCAACCAGGTTTTTAATGGCAGGCAGGTGGGAATTCATGCTCAGGGTCTGTAGGGGAGCCTGTGTCTGCAACGCAGAAGGTGGTCTGTTGCCAGGCAGCCAAAAATCCCCAAGGCTTTATGTTCAGGTGGGACCAGCCACCAGCCCTGGACAGCCAGCTGGGCCACTGCAGTAGGGACAACTCGGCACTCAGTGGCCTGCA